GCGCAGAGAGCAATGATGATGAGGACTTGAGATGAATAGGAGAAGCCCTCCTCGCCTCGGCGCGGCGGTCGGCATGTAACACATATTAGCGCCTACAAGACTGCACGAATACTTCACGCATTGCGTCAAATACAGTGTGGTCAGCAGCGGTCGACGTGAAACGCATAGCGCCTACAAGACTGCATGAATACTTCACGCATTGCACCAAATACAATGCGGTCAGCGCGGCGGCGGAAGTTAAAATTATTAAACCACATTTATGTTTGTTCTTTCATAATTTTTTTGTTAATTTCTCTTAAATGGAAGGCCTTGTCCTCTCAGAGAGAAAGGTTTACGGAACTTGACTTTCGCTCGAAGATCCGTGAATTTTTGATGGTAGTGTTGACAGGGCTTTCGCAAAAAATGTGTTCCGGCACGTTCACTTGATGGTTTTTATTGATGTTACAAAAAGAATGAGAAGGGGGCGGCAAAATACAGGCGGCTCATGAGCGGCAAGTAGGTAAATCCGGCCCTGTGACTCGAAACGTGATCATGAAAATATTTTAAGTGTCAGGCACTTTTTTTTAAAAAAAAAAAAATAAGAAAGAAAATTTAAGATTCCATCTTTTCTAGGTTCAAAATGAAAAAAAAAAATCCCTTACGATCGACAAACATTTGCATGGTAATCTTTCATTCCCGTTCACTTTTTAACGATTTTTATCAACACCGCCCAAAAACCCCGTTTATCATCTACACCCACATTAGATCATAATGATGCATTTTTGGCAGCGCTGGAACATTCAAACACAATATGAAAAATAATGATGGTGTAGATCAGCTTACGAGTAAGAAGACTGGTACCATCTTCTGCAATGCTGTCCATATGTTACGTCAAAAGGTGAGAGTTTTTTGGGAAAGTGACGCCGACCACTTAAGTTTTTGAATCCAAGTAAATTTCTCTCTCTCACTCTTTATGGGTGATTTCACGACAGCAGGAATATCAACAATCTTAACCGCATTTCATGATTTTACTTCAATTAAACTTCCTTTTTTCAGCTTTAAAGGCACGAACTAATTTGATTTAGTACCAAGTTATAATAATTAACAAACACGTCGTTAGATCAGGTGTCAGAACTTTCCGCGGGACTGTTGGAGGTCCCAACAAACATGGCGGAGTCACTATCAAATTGTATCGGTTACGTAACCGACAACTGAAATTGTGAAATAAGAGATGATAGAAAAGATAAAAGCTTGGCAATTCTTGAGCTATCAAGCACATTTAGTGCAGCCTTAGAAGTTTTTTAAACTTTGGGGACTTTCTTTAAGTTTAACTATGTTAAATTAAGAATTCAGAAGACTGAAGAGTTAGTGCCACACACTTTCAAAACACTGATTTTCCTTACAATTCAAGTTTTTCTTGTAAATAAATACGATTCCCCAAAGAAAGTTTGCTCAAATGGACGCATTTCTGTCAAACGGAACTATGTGCATTATGACGTGAGCCCTGGTATGCATGTATTCTTATGGGTCTCAGGGCTCATGTCTTCATGCACATAGTTCCGTTTGATAGAAATACGTCCAAATAGACTCAAAAAAAAAAAAACACTTNGGGGGGGGGGGGGGGGAATAAAAAACGAATAAAGGTGCTCATGAATTTTCTCCTGACATTGTCGTCATCCCTTTTGCCTGACAATTCCAGGTTTGCCCCAATTTTATAAAATTCCCTGACATTTCCCGATTTTCCCTGACCGTGGCAACCCTGGTAGTTACGTTCTTTCGTCGGTGGTTGTCCCTTTTTCCAGGGCCGTAGATACCCTGTCGGTCAGACCGTAGACACGATGGACAGACGATACTCATACATATAAGTCGCTTTACAGCACTCCCTCGCGCTCTACGACTCCTAACCTCCACTGCTCTCATTCAAACCACAAATCTTGGGGTATTGAGCACCTTGACATTTCCGCTTCAATCCCCTCCCTCCAACCTTCCATTGGGCGCCCTCTGCGTCTTCTCCCAGGAGGAACCCAATCAAGGACCTTCTTCGGCAACCGGGTGAGTTCAAATAAGCGTCTAATTTGGTGTCCCGAGCCGTTTTAATCGTCATAATCTGAGAAACATGGGCAGATCAAATTTTTTTCTCATTTTCCACACTATTGTTGACTATTACATGCTATTTCCCACTTTATTTGGACTGAAATAAAAATTTAGGAGAACTTTGAATGTGCAAATTGCCTACATTTGTCCCAAATTTGCGTGTCCCCCGTGCCTGGTTCTTGACTTTAAATCGATGTTGCAGCATAACTAGAGTGATTATTTAAGAAAACTTTATCGGAGATGATAGGTAATGCTTTTGAATTTGAGAAAAAAAATATGTCAATTTATTTTTTGCTCCATCAATAACTTTTTCACGCGCTAGAATCATTGTCCCGAGCAACAGTCAGCAACAGCCAGGAGAGACGTGGCAACGATGTAATAAGCTCTAAATGATTGCCGTAACGTTGAGGTTTTTCCAAAAACGACTTTTTTTGTTTTGATTGAATAGTTCACACGTCGTAGATGGCAAAAATTCTGAAATTCGCAAATTTTTGTGCAAGATTAACGCCATTAATGATGCCAAACAGAATGCTATACATGATAACTAACAGGGCGTCAAGCATACACACACACACTAATATCAGCTCGTAAAATACTTTCGAAGTGTGCGTTAGGGAAAATTTTCTCTAATTCCGATCCTCTAGGACGTGCTACTAAATATTCCGTGAAAAAAAACACCAAAATTGTCTTTACTGTTAGAGATAAGCTTAAAAAACAGCTTATTCCATCCTGTCCCGTTCCATCTTGTCCCGTTCCATCCTGTCCCATATGTTTCCATCCTGTCCCATGCTGTCCCAGTTTAGTGGGACAGAGTGGAAAACTGTTACAACTGAGACTTGCTTGTTTAAGCCCTGTAGGCGCTCTTTTCTACCGATTTAAGTGAAACTTGGTACCCGGGGGTATTTTTCAATGGGGAACTCGAATTTTTAGTCGAATTTTGAAAATTCGAAAATCCAAGATGGCGGACATGACCTTAAATGCTATCGCAGCGCCTAATCAACTGGGACTTGTTTGTTTAAGCCCTGTAGGCTCTCTTTTCGACCGATTTAAGTGGAACTTGGTACACGGAGGTATATTTCAATGGGGAACTCGAATTTTCAGTCAAATTTTGAAAATTCGAAAATCCAAGATGGCGGACATGGCCTAAAATGCTATCTCAGCGCCTAATCAATCGATTAACGCAAAACTTGGTACCCGGGGGTATTTTTGAATGGGAAACTCGAATTTTTAGTCGAATTTTCAAAATTCGAAAATCCAAGATGGCGGACGTGGCCTAAAATGCTATCTCAGCACCTAATCAGTCGATTAAAGTGAAACTTGGTACCCGGGGGTACTTTTCAATGGGGAACTTGAATTTTTAGTCAAATTTTCAAAATTCGAAAATCCAAGATGGCGGACATGGCCTAAAATGCTATCTCAGAGCCTAATCAATCGATTTACGCGAAACTTGGTACCCGCGGGTATTTTTGAATGGGAAACTCGAATTTTAGTCAAATATCCGAGATTCGAAAATCTAAGATGGTGGCCGTGGCTTAAAACACTATCTCGGTGACTAATTAATTGATTTTAATGAAACTGGACCGGAAAACCTTGGTATAAGGAAAAGAAAGGAAATTTTAATAGGGGAGCAATAGGGTTTCCTATGTATCTTAGGCTAGGAAATCGAAAAATTCCTGTGTTTTGTCCATTGTGCATAGATTCTCCCGGAAAATTGACTCTTCTGGAAAAGCTAGATTTTTAAGGAAAATTCCGATTTCTCCGGAAAAATTCCGAACTTTCCCAGGATAAATCGCATTGATACAGGTAAATGGAGTTGTTCTTCAGAATCAGCGCCAAAAATCTACTCCGAAACCATTGGTAAATCTTCAGAAAATCAAAAATAAAAAAAAAAAAGTTGACCGGTGTAATTGTTATGTTAATGTAAGTCCTCAAACTTTTCCTGGCTTTATCACCACTTCAGCGGGTACACGCCCACTCGAAGTTTTAAAATTCGGTGTTTTTGATCCATTTTGTATTGCAATATTCCAAGAAATAAAAGCTTCTTCTCGTGTGAAACGAAAACAGTGCGCATTTTGATAAACAGACGGAACTGTCTAAAAGACAAGCAGAATAAGCTCCAGATATCTTTCATGACGGATGAATTTTTTCTTAATTTTTTTGGTTCTGCAAGATATGAAAGGGTTACATGTTTTCAATTATGCTTTAATTTAGTGCTCGACGATGCTTTTATGACAATTGTGTTCAATTTTTAATTAAAAGTATTATATGTCACCTCTGAGATGAAAATTTAGGAAATCAGGCAAAATTACGGCAAATTTTGGGAAGTGATACACTTGACGGTGGAAATTCGGGTTTAAGCCCAACTATTAAGCTCGACGAGCTATATTTCCTAAATCTACATCTAATGATAGTCAAAATAAAGTTTGGTTTGCCCAAAAATTCAGAAAAAAATTTTGGGAGGAAATAGAACCTGGAATTTGACCCTTATTTGAATTCACCCAACCCGTCTCCTGCCATTCTCTGGACATGACCATACGAAATGAGTTGTTTTGTCATAATGTCATGCACGATGGTCTTCTTGGCATCCATGATCTCCCGTACCGTCTCATCTTTGACGCGATCCTGACGCTTTACATTTACTACTCAGCTTATTTAATTGAAAATTTCACTGATTGTTCTTCTGCACAATTTGTGACAAAAATTACATCGTCATTTATACATTCCTGCAAAAACATAAATTGTTACGGTCAATTTTGCAGCCTTGGAATAGAGTTACGTTCCTTGTCTCGAAAACGGCGATTTGAACAGTACATTTTCGAGAAACCACCCATGTACCCCAATCATGGACCTTCTTCGGCAACCTGTCTCCTGCCATTCTCTGGACATGACCATACCAAATGAGTTGTTTTGTCAGAGACGATACTGACCTCGTTAATATGCTTGTAGGTTTTGATGAGGTCGACGCTGAGTTTTCGGAGGGGGGCCGAGGCGGGGTCCCGAAAGTGGCGGGGTATCCTCGCTTGCATGGCCTGGATGTCCGAGGCGGAGTCCGCGGCCATCGACGCCGGCAACTGCTCCTCCGGCACGAGGCGCCCGTACAGGGGGACATGCCGCCCTCCCCCGTCGCCCGCTCCCACGACGCCCACTCCGGGCGCCCCGCTCGTCACAGCTCCGCCAACGCCCGCAGCAGCTGAAACATTCGAAAATCAACCAACAAATTAGTACGCACGAATCGTATGAAGTAACAAAAATAACACAGGTCAGAAAAATTTCATTTTTTTGGATTTGGCAAAAACTAGGCGAATGAATTCACGCACATTTGTATTCCATGTTGCAAAAAGGAACCAGGGGCATTGCTATGTCGCTAAGATTGTGCAACTTCAACCATTGCAATATAACTACTGTAATCCTGAAAAAATATGAAATTTACCTGGTGATTTTTGTCCTAAATTTACAGCATATGGATAACGTTTATGGATAGCTATGCTTATGGATAATCAGGTTTTTCCTCCAAGACAAAAGAAGCTGCACAATCATAGCAACATTGCAATGCTCCTGGTTCCTTTTCGCAAAATGCAATCCACCGCTGATTCTGAAAAATACTCCCGTTTTGCTGTATAAAGTCTAATTGTCTCGGAAAAATAGGAATTATCCCTACAAATCGAACTTTTTCAGAGAAAATTCTATTTTCCGGGAACTCTGTAAATGCTGGAGAGAGACTGAGGATTTTTTTCGGATTCAGCAGTCAAAAACACGGTATACTGCATATCGACGGTGAAACTACCAAACCACGTATCTCGTTTGCGGTGTTTGAAAATCTACGCTCGCATTTTATTTTTTTGAAGTAGACCAAATCAATATCATTCCTTGAAATTTTCACAGAATTTTCTCCGCACGAGGAGGAAAAATCACAGAAATTTTCAAGACTGGACGTCAAGTAGTTTTTCATTTAAAAAATAAAGTATGACAGGAAGTCTGCGACGTCGCAAACCGAGATACGTGGTTTGGTAGTTTCACCGTCGATATCTGCATTGGGTTTCTTTAAACACGTAAAAAATGCGTGGAGATTTGGGGCGTCGCAATCGGAGCTTCCGACTTATCCTTTTTTTTAATATCCTTCCTGTAGAATAAATAATTTTCCGGGAAAGCTTCAGCGCCGCCCGAAAGTTCACAGGCCGTTTTTCCTTTACACGGAATCGCAGTCGCAACCTTACGTCACGCGTCAGCGACGCGACGTCATGTCCACTCGCGTTCACCATTCATGCGTTCAAAATTTCTTCGCTCACGCCGGTGTTGTACGGCAATTTGTCGCGCTGCAGATAAGCCAATCAAGCGGGGTCGGATTTCAGCGGGCGGAACGCTCGCCGGTGGTAATGGAATTTCGAGCGCAAAGCCTCATTATGTTGTCCTCCGTCCGTCCGGAATTATCTGTGTAAGTACGGGTTTACATCCCGACCGGCGGAAGACGAGCGGCTCAATAAGTCTCCGTCAACTTACAAGCTTAAGTAGGCGCCAGGGTCTGAGCTTCCCAGGCGCCACGAACTAGGCCAATAACGAAGACCCGGGGGAGGAAAGAAGGAATCGCCCAAGGAGCGTGCTCCCGCGCTAAAAGGAACAACGCCGTATGAGCCTTCAGCCGTTGCCAAATTTCCCCCGCAGGATTGCCACAGAATTTAGAAAATTAATTCCCTGACATTTCCCTGACACACTGGAAAAAAAATCACATTGGATCTAGAGTCCAGACTCTTGAAAACATTGACAAGTAAAAATACTCTTGATTCGATAGGATTATTGCTTGAATCAAGACGAAATCCGCTTAAATTAAAGGCTTGGTTCTTGATTTAAGCTAGATTCTGATTGAATCAAGAGTACTTTTTCTTGTCGATGTTTTCAAGAGTCTGGACTCTAGATCCAATGTGTTTTTTTCCCCCCGTGCACATTTTAGTGAAAATCCCCGACAGTTGAAGATATGACAGGTGACAGGTGGTTGAGAAGACATAATTGAATTAGTTATCAGGCAAAATTTGTTTTTAGACCCAATTCAAACCCATTATAGAAAGCAAATAAAGGTAATTTAACAAATTTTTCCTGGCATTTTCGTCGTTTCCCCTGACAGTTCCCGATTTTCCTGGTATTCCCTGACTGTGGCAACCTTGTCCTGGCAAATCACTAATTTTCAGGAAAATTATTGAATGTTCGTAAACCAATTTCTTAGATAAAAAAAAAAAAAAAAAAAAAAAAAAAAAAAAACACATTAGGTAAGAAGTGGCCCGAACAGTATATTTTTTTTTTTTTTGAGGACTTTTTCAGATGATTTTGTTTGTGATTTGATCTGAAACGTCTGAAAATTTCGAGGAAAAATGTTCGTGATTTTCCTCGAAAATAAGCATTTCATCGAAGGAATTTGGCAACTCTCGAATGTTCATACGGCGTTCTTCCTTAGCACGGCAGCGTGGATATGGAAGAGGTTCAAGTTGAGGGTTGAGGTTGGACAAAGACAAACAAGACTTACATGCGAGGGGTCACTTTCAATCCATGCGTATTAGGTTAAACGCTCCGAGCTTTTCCTTCCCGGTCCCCCCCCCCTTCCCGGCCACCGAGGCGCACAGCCTCGTGTTTTACCAGGGAAACCTGGCCAAAATTCCGATTAAAAAAAAAATGTAGAAATCTGATGAAGAAGAAGTCTGCCCTGAAAAATTTATATTTTTCGACTTGAATATTTATATAACTTGTTGGTACAAGGTATATACTGAACCGAAAAAAGAAAACCGCAAAATCGGATGGTCACCAGTTTCCCTTGAAATGGCCAAAAATTTGTATTTCCAATGAAATACTTCGATTCTTCCCTTTTCCCGTCGCTGTTTCGAGCACTCCCGATTGCAATTTCGAAATTTCCTTTTACGTGCAGATGCCTCTATCCATAAGTGTTACTAAACCGTAAGTGAAAAAAGTGAAAATCGAAAAAAAGCCGAGTTGGTGTGTTTTCGAACTCACTGATTCAATTCACGGTCAAGTTTCCGGCTCGAATACCACCCGACTTTCTCAGACTCCTCGTTCTTCCCTAAGTTTTCCTAACTGCTCTTCTTACCCTGATCATGAGCACGATGCCAAATTTAACATTTACGGTCAAGTTTCCGGATCGGATACCACCATGTGCGACCACATNGGGGGGGGGGGGGGGGTATGGTATACCGTATACCCCGCGGGAGACGCACAGGAATTCCCTCTCTCTTTCCTCGGCGGTGGTGTGCCTTTCCGTGTCGTGCCGTGTGTTTACGTTCGACCGGAATCGTAAGGCTTCGAGCTTGCCGATCCCCGAACTTGCCCCGGGGGTTGGGGCTCCAGGGGGGAGAGGATTGTTGATACAAGGATTAGGGAGGAATCCTGTTTAGGTCAACACGTTCAGGCTCGCCAAATTGAAACGTATTTATCCGCTCTTCCACCGCGATGAAAGCACGCTGTCCACCGATAAACGGTTGCCAAATTAAGGTTTGTTCCCTTTCACTCTGTTCTGTCACAAATCTTGTGTCGCGCTGATTGCCTACCTGAGCGCCAGTTTGAGACAGGGATCTCACATACACTCACAATCAGAAAAATTTAATAGTGCACCAAAAAAGAATTTTTTTTGCGTGAAGAGTGAAACTAAACGATTCCATCACGGACAGGAAACATGCAGCACAACAAGTAAGCTTGCGCTGTCACAACTTAAGTTTTATTTGGCTGAGTAATAATTGAATCAGTGAGAACGAAAACACACCAACTCGAAAAAACGAAAATAACCAAGACGCACACAAAACTGCACAGCAGGTGAAGAAGTTAGCCTGAAAAAGGTTTTTGGTGGCAAAGGACAAGAACTTAGGGACAATTTATACATCCAAGTTGGAACAGTTGTGCTAACTTCAATGACCTTCAAAACAATTGACTGTCTTTAATGAAAATTGAGCATTTTGGAGAAACCGAGTAGGTGTGTTTTCGTTCTCACTGATTCAATTCGCTTCCCTGGTAAAATATTCATTTTCTTCTTTGCACGGAACTACTTATTAGAACCAACGGAATGGATTTCGTGATAATGGTCCAGGTTTTCAGATTCTGTCCAGATTTAGTGTAACCGCTATTATGTACACTGCTCATTCGGGCTCATGCGAAATGGCATCAAAGTTAACTAATTGCCAGATGTTTTGCACTTAAAATAATAGTCCTCCGTTTGGTTCATGAACAATTTCATTTTCATGCATCTGGGCTCCAAAATGTAAAGCCTGGGTCCCACTGTCAAACCGGAGTAACATAACTGGAACGATTGCCGCGCAGAACCGATCAAGAGGCACTACTATTGAGAATTTGCAGGTGTCTGATATTTGATGAATTTCGTGTTTAAGTGGAAACTACTGAGTGAACGGAACACGAGGATACCCTTGGTTCATGAATTGAACAAATATTGAAGAGGATATGTCTAAACGATCTAATCCGCTAAAATACATGTGTTTAAATGGGAAATGCCGCCAGATGACGTCACAAGGCGGTGCATTTTCTCACTTTTAAATCTATTTTTACACTAATTCCCATATCAGAAAAAAATTATAAAAAATACTGTGAAATTAGCTCTTTTGCTTAAAGATGAAGCAATAAAAAATGTGCATGCAAATTCTCCATTATTCGCAATCCGCATAATAAAATAGAACCCCGACTTTAGGCAGCTAATTGGAATTCATTTTCGATTAAAAATTACAATTTCTGGCTCATACGTAAAAACACCTACGAACATAGAGACGCACATGATACATACGTCGTTTCTAAACCGAGCCTGAAATCGGGGATCCGAATTGCAAAATTGAGTCCTACTGGAAGTCTGATGGCTCAGTTTAACTTGGATCGCGTGATTCACGCATAAGATTTTAAGCGATTGAACGAGGAAAGATCCAGGCGTAAGTCGTTAAACGATTTGAACGAGGAAGAAAAAGAAAAAAAAGAAACTGGGAAGAAAACCTCCGGCGAACATGCACATCATACCCACTGTGTGAACCCTCCGGGTAGAACGAGCGAATCAGCACTCACTGCGTGCCTCTCTTGACAACAGGACTAAAAAGATAATGACATTCCTATGGCTTTGGCTGTTTGTCTATGATGATCGTGGGCGTTTGCCTATCCAAACCTGGAATTACATTGAAGCTCATAAGGTTCACTGATCTCCGC